TTTCCCTTGAAAATCAAATCAAGGTGCTGTATAATTTCTGGAGATGAGAATGCTACTGTATAAAATCCTTACTGATATTGAAAAATACAGAAAAACAAATCAAGACAATGCTTCACACTCTTCAGATTCCAATTTTTTCTACTATTGACCATCTTCATGGGCTTTATACATTTATTTTAGCATTTGGTTGTATATAGCTGCTTACGAACATTAAACAAGGTTGGCTTTGCACCACTGAATTGTAATCAGTCAGATCTCATCATTACTCCTAAATCTTGGATCACTATAGGCATACTATATACGCTGTCTGTTTAGTTCTCAGGAACTCTTTCCTTGAAAATTGTATGCCTTTTTAATGTGTCATGGCTCAATTATCACATTCAGTTTTGGCTGCCAAAATAGCCATATATATTGTCTAGCAAGTGACAGCCTGGGCCTTTATCTCTTCCTGGCTGTTTGCCAGCTGTTTAATTGAAGCCCTGCGTTTGCTGTGTGTCACATCTTATGGTGGTCTATTGTACCCAGCTAAAACAGTATTTTGAAAATGTTTCAAATGCAAACTAAATCTCTGAGAGTTTACCTCCTGTTATTTAGATGATCTGTTGAAGATGTAATGTAGGTCATTTTTTCCATACAAATATGACTATTTGTACTTCAGATAAGTCTCATGAATGTCCAGAGCAAAGAGAAGATAAGATGGGGATGCAAAAATGCTATCCTGTCCCCTTGAGAGAAGTAATTAAAGCTGTACACTTTGCATGTAATTTCTCATTTTTAGTTGCAGAAGCATTTTTCAAGGCAAATATTCTCTTTGTTCTGCCCTTTATAGAGAGCAAGTATATAGAAGCAGAACTGAAATCTCACAGGGAGTAACAAAGCCGATGGGTTATATTCCTCCTCAGATACTTTGGGTGAAAAAACTACATTGGTGTTTGAGTGAATGGTGTCTTCGAGAGGCGGAGAATGATATAGTCATTGGAAGCAGCATGTTCTGTTTGGCAGCCGTCTGCTTTCTATCAGGAAAGACTTCAGGCTCATGTTACTCATGGCAGAGCTGAACTTCTGATTTGTGTCTTGAAGTCCCAAACGGCCTGGGAGATGGAGCCACTCGGTGTGAAACCAGGATATTAGAGGGCTAAGCACTCCACAGTGCTTAAGTGTGTGGGGAAATCCTTGGACTAAGTATGAATCCAAGAGTTTTCTCTGCTCATCCTTGCAGAGATACTAATCTCATGCTTGTTCTCTCTCAAAAGAGCGTATGTCTTGGAGAATTTCAGCTCCTGGGTGAGATTCTTATCTGGTGCAAACTGATTTAGTTGGGGAAGCTATGAATGTACATTAGCTAACATTCTTGGTTATGCAGAAATTTCTGGCAGAAACTTTGCTTTTCCAGTGCTTTAAGAAGAATCAGGATTTATCTTTGTAACAAAAAAGAAATGATAAAAGTCTTAGGAAAGAGCTTTACAATTTTAGGTCAGAGGAACAGAGAGCAAAAGAGAGCTTAAGAAAGATCCCATTTTTGTGCAAAACTCCAGATTTATAATTAAATACTAAATACTGGCATTTTAAAAAAGAGAGGAAAAATAGCCTCTAGGCAGGATTAGATCTACAGAATATTTTTCTTCTTTCTTAGTCGGAGGAGAAAATATCCCATCCTTCTAAAGCCATCTAGCCTTCTGTTAGAGGTTTGATATTAAAATAGGCCCTTCTAAAAGGATATTACATTGTTAGAATGCTCTTAAACCTGTTTTGTGAGAAGCATAATAGTGTGTGTGTGTGTGTGTGTGTGTAATATTCTCAAGCATGAGTATGTATATTTTTTTCTAGTTCATCTGCTGGAAGAATTCTGATAAATATACCCCCTGTACCTTTTTCAAAAGTCGACATCTGAGAGTAGGGAAACAAAGTGAATATTACAACATATTTAGGAGACAATTGTGGATATATGGGGCAGCTGGGGTGTGAGTGATTATGGCAGTTCTGCTCTGTGCTGTCATTGTGAGGCTTTTCAGGAAATGCATCAAAGTAGTTGCTAGTAACACTTTACTGTAGAAGGATCTACATAATTCCAGTAGTTTTATAATGTGACCAGTTCATCTAGTGTCAAAAAAGGTCACTTTCCCATGCCTGAGTTTCCGCTTGACTAAACTCTTTCCTGTTCCACTAAGCTTTCATGTAAGCACTATATTTTGTGCTTTGCATGCTAGCGTTGAGTTTCTTATATCTCTCAAGTCACTCTACTTTCTGGTCTGAAGACATCATTAACTAAGTTTTTTAATATACAAGTTAAGTTGGCGCTGAAAGGTAGCTTGACAAAAATTCTTATTATGTGCATGTCCTCTGGCTCGATGAGGCAGGTGCGCATGTATGCTGCTGACGCAGAGAATTTAGACAGCCCCCGATGTATATATTTCAATGTTATTTCATAAAAAGTTGGTATTTCTGAAGGGTAGTTAGAACACCCAATTTTAGATACCATAATGTTGAAAACAATTGTTTACATGTTAGACGTGTTCACTGCAAATTAATGGCAGCCTTGGGAAAGTAAAGCGTTTCTTGACCATTTAAGGTCTACAGGTAGCCCCAGGAATTAGGCACAAGGACGTTAAATCACAGCAAGACTAAGGAGTATGGAGTTGAAGTTTGTCCTACACAAAGTCCAGCACTAGCAAAGCACTGATGCCAGCTACTTGTCTCAGCTGAACATCTACTGTCTGCTTAACACAGTTTAGATGAAGGACAAGATCAGGAAAGGTCACAAGAATGCACAGCCTGTATGTCACTACAGGCTGATGAACCCTTGAATGTTAAAATAAGCAAATGCTGATCAAACCCAGAAAATTTGGGAAAACACAGTGTGAAGCAGAGCAGGGGGAAACGAGTACAGCAGTTGCTGCAGTACTAATGAAAAGTGCAGAATGGTGTTATCAAAATGCAGAGCTTGTGGAATTTGGGGTGAATCTAAACCGAGTTACTTGCGCTTACAGGTTTGTTTGGTTTTCCACTCTCCAGGCTCCATTTCCCCTTGCAAGTCCCGTTACGCTTACTCCCTTTATTCTTAATATTCTCAGTTTCTGACTTCACGTCCTGTCCCGTCCCACTCCCTTCTTCACAGCTGTGAAATGAAAATAATTGGGTTTGAACACTGCCTCTGCGTGTGGAATATTTGTTGTATACTTGTAGTTACTCTCTTTGGGAATTCAAAAAAAAAGAAAAAAATGAGAGGTCCTCTCAAGGAACATGCAGAGTGTTCAGGGTTGAAGTAGGCCATGAAAAGGGACACTTCCCTTTCTTGTCAAATTGGCTTTGGTTTCTTAGATGCATCGCTCTGGAATGTAGCCCTGAAACTCCACTTTTCTTGTAAGGAGGAAGCAGAGCCAATTGATGTAAACTTCTAGTTGCGTCTGCTAGCAGTTTCCACCAGAAACTAATTACAGCTAGCAGCTATCACCAGCAGATGACTGAGGAGTTCCACCTCGTAAAGTAAGCAAGGAGTTTAAACCTGCACTGGCCTTCCCCCTGCCCCCACCCCGCCTTGGGATTGTAAGGCTGGGGTTAAATTCTTCAAGCAAGTATTTCACACACACAAACAGAAATCTTCCAAAAATATGCAAATTACTTTATCATACAAATACTATCTGTAGCTGTTCCCTTAATTGGAAAGTAATTTCATGGGCTTTGCATTGTATCCCTGTATCATTTCAAGATTACACGGTATGCTTGTTTAAATTCTGATGTGATTAACCCAACTCTTTTTCTGGTTTGTCAGTTCTGCAAATTACTTCAGAGTAAATAAAGTGGTTCAGTCCTCTTTCCTAAATAACGCTGTACGTTTGCAAATGATCATGGGTACTGAAGATTTTTCACTTTTTGAAACTGTAGTTCCACTAACGAGGATTTCCTCCTGCAAAAATGAACCTTTTAATAAAGCATGGGGCATGATTTTTTCAACTCTCTTCACTAGGTGGCGTTGCCTCGTAGTCTAACAACTGTGTGTCTTTTTCTTTTGAAAATAGCTAAAATTAAAGTCAATAAAGTAATTCCAACATATTTTGATCTTTCAGTGTGTATGTCTTAGTTTTCTTCCTTCTAAGTAAGTCACCTTTCTAATTGCTCAGGACAAAGACCATGTCATTTAAATGTCATTTCTGTACGTATACCTTTTAGATGAGTGGTCTGCTGTAGTTTCTGCTGTGATTCTGCTCTCTTCCTTGGCTTCCTTGAAAACTTCTTGCAGTCGCTTGCTGAGGGACTAAGGTTGGAGGAGGTGCCCTTTAGTCAGTGGTTTAAACTTGGGGCCTGTTCAGATTTTGGAAGCAGAAGTAATTGCAGTCATCACTGTACATTTTAGAAAACTAAGCCCATGCCACGATTTCATGCTTGATTCTCTTTATAGACACAATTAGCCTCTTTTAATCATATACTAAAATACTAGGGGAACAGTTGTTTGGAAGATGCTAAATCAGACAGAGCAAAAAGCCATGCCAGCCCTACTTTATGGAAAACTCCTTGAAAGACGTATTTTTCTAAAATATGGTGTCCACTATTATAACAGGCAATATCAGAGGAAAGAGAGTGTTATTCTTTTCTGTTTGCTTATTTTGTGTGTTAGACAGCATGCATTTTTTTCTGGCTAGTTTCTCCTGGTTTGTTAGTAGTCAGTTGTGCTTCCGGAGTCGAGCACTGGCATGACAACACCATGCTTGCATTTTGGGGCATGAGCATGCCAGCTAACAGTTCTCTAACATGCTTTTCCCCAGGCAAGGCAAGAGGACCCTTGTCTGTAACGTCAGCAGCATATTTAAACAGAAAGCGGAAAGACGCCAGATAGGTGGCTTTATTCAGAAAGGATGGCAAGGGGAAATGACGGACCCAAGCAGCTGTCTTGCACTGCTTTTTGTCCAACTCCATCATCTGTCTCTTCTAAAATGTCATTGGGAATTCAGCATAATCTGCCCCCCTTCTCTTCTTTCACCAGAACTTTTAGTTTAAAATGAGAATGATTTTTAATTATATCTTAACCAATTGCAGTCCACTAAAAAGTGTAGAACTGTTATGAGCAGAAATTAATATAACACACTTGTTTTGTTCTGAGTTTAAATAATGAATCTTGTTAATGTCAACCGATACATTTCCTTTGCCAGACGTTCTGCATCAGGATGCAGAGAGTGAGCATGCCTCTGGTTGCTATAACACTTGTACTCACAAAACAGTATTTAAAACATTTTTATAGTAGAGTTTTAGTTGTAATACAATGTTGCTGATTTGCATTAAGAGCTTGGAGACCTATAAGGAAGTATCAGATTTTGCAAAAGAATGAGAAATGAAAAAGCCAATTTTTTTAAAAATTAAGCATGTACCATAATGTATTTTGATGAGACTAAGTCACCGAAGCTACCGTTTACTTCAGAGATTTGCAACTGAGTGCTAGACCTTATTTGAACAACTTTTGGAACAACACTGTGGTGTATTTCCATGGGTTAATGTATTTTTTTATGAAGCTTCATATTAGAGAAATGGCAAAGTAAGAATTGGGAGGGAGCAATGTTGTTCAAGAGCTCTGGAACATAAGAGTTAACAGCCTTCCCTTGTGTGGTAGCATGTGCTTATCTGCCTTTGAAGTCAGGGAGTTTTAAGCACATGCACACATGCTTTCCTGAATAGGGGTCAGAGGGAACGGAGTCAGTTAAATAGGGCCATATGCAGAAGGAAGGGGGGAAAGTAGTATGGTGACTGTGAATTGGAAATAGCTATTTCATTCAAGTGCTGTGGGAAGACTTTCATAAGAGAAGGCTCTGCCTGACGCTATGCAATGCATGCTGTAAATATTTTTGTAAGATTTCAGAGCCTTGTCTTCAAAAAGCATCCACCTGATCCACCACTGGTTCTCACTAGGGTTTAGCACTATGACACTTAAGTGCATTTGAAGAACATAGCCTTCTGTGCCTAAGCAGGACTACGAGAGAGGGGGCAGGTGGAAGTGAGGCTTACCTGCATTTCCTCCTCACATCAGTACCTAGCTTTTGCCAGGTTTCTTATGGATGTTTAGAAATACACCGTTGAAAGGAATCGTATTTCTCCCGCTCCTCCATCGTCAGTCTGCCTTCTGGAAGCAATGAGAGGCAGTAATCGTCAGGAACCCACTCGCTACAGTGCTGGTAGCAAAGACTCTGTATCATGAGAGTAACGAGAATCAAAGTACACATTCGGTGCCAGTTTTTTCTCCTAGTTTTTTACATGAGGTCTGAATGCTCATCTAACCCTGTTTATTTGGGGGCATTCAGCACATAATACTAAATGTGCTTGATTTTTTTTTTTATTTGCAGGTGACCTTTTAATGGAGCTGTAAAAGTAAGTGTAATCTGCACCTTCTTTTGTCATCAGTAAGTGCTGAAGGGCTGAATGCTCAGAACAGGAGTGTCTCTGGGCTCAAATGTGGGAGAAGGGTGGGCAACCCCTAGCACTACCCAGTAAGTAAGGGGGTTGAAAGGTAACATGGGTTCTTGTTCGTTTTCACTGTCTGCTTGTACAGGCCTCCTCAACGCTGCCAGTGCCTCCCCCCCCCCCCCCCCTTTTTTTTTTAACAGTTGTTATTTGTGTTCTGGTACCACCAAGAATAGCTGTCGGGGGCCCTGCTGTGCTAATCCCACTACAAACACATTCAGAAGGACAATTTCCGCTCCAAAGAGTTTGCCAGCTATAGCCACTGGTTTTGCTGTTTGGTTAAAAAGGAGGACTTGCGTGATGGGCCTTGATAACCTCCAGGTCAGACGTAGCCAGGAAATAGAGCTTAGGCGGTTATCCTTGCTTAGGGAAGTAGCACCACCCCTTTCATAGTGCCTTGCAGAGGATGTTGATCCTTGGTAGAAGTCAGTTAAGGTCATTTCCACATGATACGGGCAATTTCTATGGTAACTATCTCTAAGGTGAAGAAAGTGTGATCTGGATGCATCTTGTGCACATGTGCAGGAAATGCAGGTGTAAGCCAGATGAAACAGTCATAGATCTCAAAAACTCTTTTGCCTGCGTGCTCTCTGATATCCAGCTGTTGCATTCATTAGCTGTGTGCATAAATGGGCAACAGCCCATGTGGCAGCGGGAGCGGTAAGGTGCATGGCATGATTTTGGCTGTAATCTGGGTGGGTGGGTGGATGGTGAAATAAGTCAGATGCGGAGTGAGAATGTCTTTCTGAGCTGTCCCTTTCTATTGCAAGAGCAGCTTATAGCCCCTAGCAACTACTGCTGCAGATTTTCCTCATTCACTTATTCCCTGGCAGCTCCTGTTTGAACATGGGTGACAAGATGCAGCTCCTGCATCCATGGTGACAAGAGAAGAAGAGGTTTAGATTATTTCAGCCCCTAGAAGATTGGTCTGTTTTGGGTACCAAGCAGGAATAGGCAGTGTCTTGTGATGCTTGAAGGGTGATGTCTGCCCAGCTTCCTGTAGATTTTTCTCTTTGTGTCTCTGCCTATCCGTGGCTGGGACTGCTAGCCTGGGTGCTGAGCAGTGCTACTCCTCTAGAGGTTATGTGGTCAGTGAAATCAGGATTATGTTCTTGTTTTCAAAGGACAACTTTTCAGAACAAATTTCTGTTAAACCATTGTGTTCCCAGAAGGGTGGGGAAAATGTCAGATGGAAGCAGGCAGATATTTTGTAGTGCTTGTGAGAAGCAGGTTTGAGGATCTATTTCACAAGTTGCTGACGTCACTGCAAAAGTCGTCTTCCTCTACCTGAAGCTCAGTGGCATGGCACAATGTCAGTGTTCCAAGAGATCTCATACAGCGTTTCTCATTTCTTCCCTCAGGGCCAGCAATGTGAATTTCTCTGCCTTGCTTTCAGTCAGTTGCATTAAGAAAATTTTGGCTTGCCCGTAGTGGCTGAAACACACTTCTCTGAAATTGCAGTTAATTTGGTCCCACTTCATTGTTGTTTCACAGAAAAGCTTGGATAATATTTATTGGATCTGTTCTGTGAATGTGGAAAAGACATGTAAGTGCCTGAAAGTGGGAGCCTAGAATCCCTTCAGCCCAGGTGTGGACAGGACTGCTGGGATGTCCTCTATGGCAAATTCTTACGTGGAATAGAATGAATATTTTTAAAGCGTAGACAAGGTTTGTAGGCACCATGCAGCTGCTAGAGTGGTGTGTGGAGAGCTGTTGCACTGCTTTCTTGATTTGCTTCTCTCCGAGTTGCTCTGCGGCTGAAATTGGGGTATGGCTGTCAGCATTGGAAATGCAAAACCAGGCAGAGGAAGTGGCTGAGAGCTCCCCTTTTTGTGCTGTTCAGAGAATCTCAGAGGAGCACCAAATACAGGTGAGCTGCTGAGACTGACAAAAGATGCTACAGGAACTGTCAAAAGGCAGAATTTCACAGAGGAGTGCATATAATAAAAAATGACCAACCGACATAACTTTGTCTGGAAGGCTGCCTGCTCAGTACAGAACTATCACTGGATTCTGAGGGGAGCTGTCTTCATATGCTGAAGACCAACGCAACTGGGACAAGACAGCCAGTACTTCTGCAAGAGGCCATCTCCACACCCTGTGGAGAAGAAGACAGGAATGGCCTGGCACAGGAAGACTGGCACAGCATTTCTCAGGAAAAGCACTTCCCTTGCCTTTTATCTTTCAGTGCTCCAAGAAAGCTGACATGAAAAGAAAAATGATCTTTTTGTATACAACCGAAATGTTAGAAAAACAAAAGGTTTAACTGGAGTTTGTTGAGAGGTAACACACTTGATTTGTTTGGGTTTCCATAAAATGTTTTGTGTGGAAAGCTGTGTAATGAGGTTTACATGAGAGGCTCTTGTCTGTATGTCCTCCCAGCTCAGAGGCATTGCAACGAATCTTTTTCTTAGACTCTGCATGAATCAACCTAGGAGCAGGAGGTTGAAGCAGCAAGCCAGCTGTTATCCTGTCCTTAGAGACTGGAAAGCATCAGCATGCCACCAGACCTGCTTATACTACATGTACTAAACATACTCAGTTCCTTTCTTCTGTCTGTTTTTCATCAAATGGTGAGGTCACAGTCTGAAATAAGAGGCACTTTGAAGGGGAGAGCCCCCTGCCTGTCTGGGTCATCTTTTAATGAACTTTAAATGTGTTTGGCACCTTACTTATACTAAACAAATGAGCTGGAGGCTTTCTCTTAAGTGGTTTAGCTCTGCTGTGCAAGCCCACAAAGCTGTGGTACTGTTTAGTCCCCAGTTTCTCTTGATGGGGACATTCACAACTGCTCCACTGTAGTTGTCAGCTATTCTCTCCCATGGAATTCTGCTCTTTGGACAGGGTTGGAATTGCTGGATCTGAGAGAAGGAAAGGGAAGATTGCCGTTTCCATGGAAAAGGTACATCTACTGGCAGTGTACCGTTAGGCAAGCTAGCCTGAAACAAGCTTGATCGCCTTCCAGTTGATTCCAAAGCTGTAATCTGGAAAACATGGGGCAGTAGGGATGTACCCAGCAAGAGTGCAGAGCAGCACACGCAAAAGTCTTTCATCCAGTTGTGCCCTAAGAGTACCTTGGCTAGCTGAGGCCCAAGCACTTCTTTTCACTTGCCAGCTGTGCTGTGAGAGCAACAGTCTACAGCAGAAGGGAAGCACAGACAGCTTTCTTAAATGGTCACAGGACAATTTGCTGTGGCTTCTCTGTCTAAACTCTGTACTTTGAAATAGGTTTCTTCATCCACTTTCCCCTTTCAGAATTCCTTGCAATCTCCCTGTCAGTTCTGTGTGGGTCCCTGTCAAGATATGTGCTTTCAGGAGTGAACTTGGAGAAATACTTCCTTAGCTGTAGGTTTAACAGCTATTTCAACTGAATAGGACCAAATTTCAACTGATGAGGACCAAAATAGCAGGTTTTCATTTCCAGCTTTGTATGGTGAAAAGCAACCCACCTCTCCAAAAATATCAATTTCTGCATCATCTTCCTAGCAGCTTCCACCATGGTACCTGTTCACCTTGAAATACATCTTGTGAGCCTGCGTTTGGCCAAACGGTGGTGGAAAGAAGCCAGGTGCAGGCAGTGTGACTGTAGTTACCTGTTATTGCCAGCTGTATCCAAGAAAGGTCCTTGCTTACATTCATTTCCTGACTCAATTCTCCCGAAAACTTGCTTTTCTGCATCATCCTCGTGTTTCTGCGACCTCTTTTATTACCCTGGCTTTTAGCTGGAGGTTCCAGCGTTTTCTGATAGCTTTGCAAATTGTCCAGAGGTATGTCTGGCATTCTTGGCTGGCTTCCAGGTCAGGCATGAAAATGAACTGAAATTTTCACTCTCTTCCTTTTGCTGCTAGACAATCAGATTGTTGCTCGCCTGAAACTCTCACTTCCCATGAGAGACCCAAGGGACTCAGGGCAAGGGCCGAGCAAGGACTTCTGAGTAAGCAGCACAGGAGACAGAAGTGGCCACTGAGCTGATAACAGCAGAGAGCAGTGAGGAAGGAGCACAGTCGGTGTCTGTTTGCATGAGGAGGACGAGGAGGAATGTTGATGGAGGATGAACTCTGGTGAGGCTGTTAGCATACTGACATGAAGAGGATGGATTGCCCAGGGCAGTTGATCCTATCTGCACTCAAACACACACACAAAAAGTAAGGGAAGTTAAGAAACTAGTGCCAGCTTGTGACATTATGAGTAATCTTCTAACAGCCATACTGATATTATAGCTTTAAAGTTAGATAAATGTATGAGGGTGAAAAGGAAGATTTCATTCAGTAGACAGGATAGTGGCAGCTGAGAGAATTAGTTTACATTTTTATTAGGCATTCTCATTAAGGAAATGGGAGAGTAGGATTTATACTCTTCCCGTCTCTTAAGGCTTATATGGGATGTTTCAGTATTGGAACACTTAAGCATCTCAAACTAATGAAAAGATTATTGCAAGGCTCTCGAACTGTTTTATAGCATGTGATAGCTGAAAGGATGTGTTTATTTCAGGAAAGATTATTTAACTGGTAGCGAAATGTGTGCTTGAGCATGGCTAGAGCGATATGCCATTGACTCTGTGACACATATAAGTAACATAGTAGCTGCATCTGTGGCTTACCAAGAGACCCAAATAATAAGATTGCAATTTTTGTCCTTGCTCTATAAAACAGTGAACTAACCTGAAGAATTTTTGTGTCATATTCTAAGAGATCATAGAAATATATTTTTTCTGTAAAACAAATACTAGGTCTGAATAAATGTGGCTGCATCATCAATTTTTATCTAAACCACTACAGCTCTATTTCTTTTTCAGTTTTATTGCCTCTTTTTTATAATATCTCTTAATTCATTAGCTATACATTAAAGCATTCTTTATATATATGATTACAGATAA